TTTTTTTTCATAAACTTGGAATGAAATTGTGAACCCTAACATGTAACTCCCGCTCGAGCTAAACTACTCTAACTTTTTGATTCAATCATCCCCTGTTTGTTACTACTACACCCTTTTCTAATAACTCTCTGATTGTATTGTAAGGAATAAATTGTATTTATGTATCATTTTTCTTTGTCGGAATAAGCCCTTTATTTACAAGAGGATCCCAACATTTTAGTAACATAACCATGTACAAATATCCTAAGAAAGTATTCACAAACTTCTTTATTGTCCAATAGCCACAAAAACTAATTGTAAATGGTAAGAAAACAATGAATGAATGAATCCATGAAGCGCACCACATATATTGGAAGTCTCATCACATCAATGACTTCTAATTTTAGAAAAGGATAAGTTGTATTTCACAAAAAAAAACACCAATGCCACTTTTCAAAGAATGACCGTGTCAAAAACATGTCTAAACTGTATGCAATCGCTTTATCATAACTTCGTGGCCATTTAAATGTCCTATAAAGATTTACATATGCTATTTGAGAGAATTACTCCATATCTAATTAGTCATACTTTTATATCAAGAAGCGGGGGCACCGATTTTATCATAAGTAGCAAGTACTACTACTAAATTTTGGGGTCAGAAGCGGGGGCACTTGCCCCTCCCCCCAGGTCCTCCATTACGTAGTATAATTTATTTTGAAGCAAAAGATTAAACATGACACAATAACTAATTAGATAAAAAAAGTACCACATCTGTCCCATTTAAAGTTTCTTGTTCACTACTCTTCGGTCAACGTGAATTGTTCTTAATCTTTTACTTTATATATCCAACTGTTATCAAATTTAATTTTTCTTAATCAGGTATTATAAAATTTTCAATGTAGAGCCCGTTTGGTGAGCATGTTTTCCGGCTTATCGGGCTTATCAGCCAACTTTTCACCAAACACGTAACTTTTGATTTCATGCACTGAATTGTGTAATAATAAGAAAAACTAAGGTTGAAGTTACTTTTCTGGTTGTATTAACTGAATAATGAGTAATTAATTCAAAGCATCAATAATTTATATTGCCTCCGTGCTGAATCTGGATTCTCGAATATCCATCAAAAAATAAAAAATGACGTTAACGATTTCAAATTCCGCCGCCCGCCCCGCCTTGTGCTCTCGCTGGATCATGGAAGCCAGATACCTGAATTGTTGAAAATGATTTCAGATTTGAAAATGGAAAACTAAAAAATGAAACTTGGGAATAGAAAAACTGGAAAATGAAAACAAAAAATTGAAGAACGAAAAATAAAAATGAAAAACTCGAAAATATCTTTGTTAGTAAACAAGCCCTTAATTTTTTAGATTTATGGAATATTAATGCTTTTTGTTATGACTTATGAAATTTGAAATTCTTTTTATTATAGTATCAACATGTGATAGTGTGATACAACGTTTGAACGCGTACCGAAATGAACCTACCCCTAGGGGTGTGCATCGGTTCAAAACAGGAACAGAACGGGAACCGAATGTGCAAGAAAATAGAAACCGATAACCAGACATCCAGACTGGATACATTCCAGTTTTGAACCGGAGTCGAAGCAGTTTAACCTGTTCAAAACCGGAACCGGAGTGAAAGAACCGGTTTCTGAATTATTAATTTAATTTATTAAAAAATACAACTAATTTGTTTAATAAAATGCAGTATTTGTTACTAATAATACTACTATTATTCATTTATTTACTTTTAATTAGTCTTAGAGAGCAAAGATTGAACCAATTTGAGTGTAGAATAGTAGATATTAGTTAATACTATTATCAAGAATATAAAAATAAATGGATGAATAAAATATTAGGTTAATGTACAATACTTATTAAAAAGATTACTATTTATATTTTTATTACTATTTTTTATTCTTTAACTATATTATATTATTTCTATTAATTAATATATTAATTATATAGCAAATCCGGTTTTATCTGGTTCAAACCGAAACAATATGTCTTTAACTGGAAACGGAATGGAAACCACATTTAGAAAATTTGAAAATTGTAAATCTGACCGGATATCATTTGGGTCGGTTCGGTTCTGTTTTTTCCGATCCGATCTGGTTTTCCGTTTTAAACCAACTTGTGAACACCCCTACCTATCCACCTCCGAACCGGATACGCTAGATCTAGCGATCCACCTTCTCATCGTAAAGCTTTCACGAATTATGTGACAATGTTCAAAACCCTATAGACTATAGTGCTTTACCACTATATGGAGAATCAATCGACTCATTTTTTTAGATATCCAGTTGATGAGATTCCATAACAAAAGAATGATAAATTTGATTTATTTTGCCTTCCCAAAATCACGGGCAAATTCAAACCATTTGATGACCTTCTACAATAACTCTAGTAAAAAAGAATCAGAAAAATAACTTCAAACTTATGTTTTCTTATTATTACACAAGTTAGTTAATAGAAAAGTCATAAATATTGTCGAAGAAAAATATAAGTCATACGAAGTACTCCCTATAATGAATGAGACAGGTCGTGAATAGAGTACCGCATGCGTTCATGCCTTTATGGTTGCTTCAATTTTTTTCTTTGGGAAAAGGTGCAAATAGGCCCATGTACTAACCAAAAAAAGGTCAAATAAGCCCTTATTTAGGAGGCTCTGTCCGGCCGTCGTCATTTGGGGTGGTTTCCGGTGGAATTTTTTGATGAATTTTTTTGAGCATCTTATTCATCAAGTCTAGTTTACTCATACCAAATTTCAGCTAAAACTTTAATCGGGAAGGCATTCAAATGAATTCTTGAAGATAACTGCGCTTCTAACTGCGCAGTTATTTTCAAGAATTCATTTGAATGCCTTCCCGATTGAAGTTTTAGCTGAAATTTGGTATGAGTAAACTAGACTTCATGAATAAGATGCTAAAAAATTTTCATCAAAAAATTCCACCGAGAACCACTCCAAATGGCGACGGCCGGACAGAACCTCCTAAATAAGGGCTTATTTGACCTTTTTTGGTTAGTACATGGGCCTATTTGCACCTTTTCCCTTTTTCTTTCAATGATACATCACATCTACCTTCCTCTCCTCCTATTACGAAGGGGCAATGGGTTGTTCATTGGACAAAAGGATGGGAAAATGATAGAAATCCATTGGTCTTTTTTATTTTTATTTTTATTTTGTCTCTTTTCGTCGGGTTTCCATTATACTCCGTATTATACTAGTACAAGTATGCCCAAAAAGAAAATACGGAGTATAAAGATAGCCTCTATTAAACATACTCCATCCATTTCTTCTCCATCCGACTCTAATAACAATCCACCGGAAGCCAGAGATATGTGTAGAAACTAGAACGCTAAGTCCCAAAATACAACCTAGAAAACTCAAGGGGGTTGCTAGGCGCACCCCCGAATTGCTTTACGTAACTTTTGTTAGACAATTTTGCCCCTTTATTTTTGTACTCCGTAATAACTACACTACGTATTAACTTTTTTATTTGAATCGTATAATAATATAATTAGCCCATCAAAATTACGTACAAACCCCATTGTGGTGAACTTCTGGTAACTTTTTTGATGATTCAAGTTTGATGAAGTATAAATAACCTTTTATATAAAATGGGTCGAACAGTTACTTTTTTTTTTTTACAAATGTTATACTATTTTCATTTGTTCCCCAATTATGACAAAAATGTATTGAATTGAATAATTTCTCATTATTTTTTTCATATGAAGCCTATATTATATTATCATTTGAAAAGTTATTCTTTTTTTATTATCAATTACACACACATATATTATCTCTTTTTTTGTCTATTTATCATATTTTACCTTTTATCCTTCTTATCTTTTTTTTTTCTTTTGTCTCTGAAATCGTGTATTGATTCATGTTAGCTGGTCCTAAAAAATTTGAAGACTAAAGCTTGGAAGTTGTTACTGTATTTTTTCTTAGATGTTTATTTAATAGGTTTCCCTTAAATGAAATATTACTCCGTACTATGGATAAAAATGTGACTTAAGTCACTACCTATATAGTCATTACAATGGAAATCTCAACATCATCATTATCACTAAAGTTACAATTTTAGTCACTAAAGTACCCTTTCGTTTTCTAATCATTGTCCCGTTAAGTTTTTCCCAGTTTTAAGAAGAAAATAGCAGGGATAATATAGAGGATGTATGGTAATGAAAAAAAGTAAGAAAAATAGTATATTACGAGAAGAAAAGTAATGACAAAGTAGGAAAGAAAAAGGAATTTATAAAAACTAATGATAGTAAAGGTGAGAGTATAAAAGTATTTTGATAGGAAAATCTCAGTAAAAGAGAAAAAGAGAGACAAGTAATAAATAAATATGCAAAATGGAATACGAGACAGCTATTAGAGAATGGGGGCAGTATAAAAAGTCACGTTATTTTCTACTCGGTATGATTTGGTTAAATCTAACTGGATTGAAATCAGTCCAATTAAAAAACATCCTAAATATCGTTCACATATGCAATCATCCATATATATAAAGTAGACGGCCTTAATGCGGAATGAGCATGGTGTTGATCGGGTTTTAAAAGTTGCGGCATCCACCTTTGAAAAATATCTATCACACTATACAAGTTTAACCATGATCACAAAGTTATTAATTTATAAGAAGACACAATCCATATTATACTATGAATTTGATAGAAATCCATTTATTGGGAGAGATTAATTTATAATTATACTACCAATAAGAATGTTTTTAATTGGATTGAAATTTTCCGCTTTAGTTTTTAATTGAGATTATGTTAAGTTTTTGAGCATATTTTAAAGATAGTTGTTTTTTAAAATAAAGTGAAACAAAATATAAGGAAATATAAAAACATGTTTTTTAAATTTAAAAAGTTATACCGGGAAAAAAATACTACGTATAAAAATAAAAAAATAAAAAGCAATACAAAGTGTTTGACTGTTTGGTGAGCTGTGTCGCTTACTACGGGTGAGTAAGGTCAAATATAAAGTAGGACAAATATGTCTAATAATGGGGAAAAAGGGGTGCGCTTAGTAATTCTAGGGGTGCGCCGAGCAGGAACGAAACTCAAAGAGCTTGTGAATGCACCTGCCAATGTTATCCCTGGTTAGAGGTTAGTAGTTGTCTTCTTTATCATCCAGTAGCTTTATATGGAACATATTGCTAATTTATTTAGTAATTTTGGGTTTTACACTTTTACCTTAGTAAAGAAAATTAAATTTGAGAAAATAGCCTCAAATAAGACTAAATTGTTGTTGAAATTCCAAAATAGGAATAGTATAATTATATTCTCTAAATAGGACCTTTCTTCCAATTTTACCCTTAATTCATTTAAACCACCTGCAGCTCAGAACCTCCCTACGATTTTATTCGAACGTCGCATTTCAACCTTGCCCCTTCTTTGTGCGCAGCAGAGAGCTCGACTTCAACCGTGAGCCCCAGCGAGCCCCGGCAAACAGCGGCAGCGTGCGCCGGCGAGCAGCGGAAGCAACCGCCAGGTCTCCTGTTCCTCTCACTCCTCTGTTTCTTCAAACTTTTCCGTCTAAATCTGGTGTGGTGGTGAAGTCAAGCTCTGAGGTCTTCTTCTCCCTTCTTTTCCCTCGATCTGTATCTGTGTACGTTGTATCTTTGCTTCTCCTTCTTCCTCATTTCGATTTTTTAATGCTCTGGGAGGATTCAAATTATCGAGGCTTACTTGGCTTCTGGGAGGATTCTAATGGCTCGATTAAATACAATTAGATTGTTACAATTGTCATTTTTTTTTAAATGCCATCAAATTGGCATTTTTACTCTTTAAAATTTCCATATTTTTCTTATAAAATGCCATTAAAATGGCAATCTAGATTCATGTTGGCATTCTGTTAAAATGTTTGGCATCAGTGTTGGCGTCCTTCAGATCTGTGGTGGCAGCAGCTGGATCTGTGGTGAGGGCGTCTGGATTCGCAGGGGCGGCGGTCGGCGGTCGATAGAGGCCGGATGTGGTCCGATCTGGGGAGGCGGCAACCAGATCTACGACGGCGGTGATCAGATCTGCAGCGGCGGATAGTTTTGAGGTTGCGGCGGCCGGAGGCGGTGGCCGGCGGTGGCGGCCGGAGGCGGCGGCCGGCGGCCAGTCATGCTCTCTGTCGGTGGGAGTCGATTTGTGAAGCTTCCAGGGTATTTTTGTCAACCTACAAATAATAACTCCTATATAGGGAATTTTTATACTTTACTCCTATTTTAGCAATTAAGAATTTAATTACTCCCATTTAGGTAAATCTCCCATTTGATTTTCTTTTTAAAATTTATACGGCAGCATAACTCTATTTAAAATGTTCAAACAATTATCTTCAAAGCATATCATTAATCATTTGTGTTGAACAGTAGTCAACTATTTTCTTAACACTCAATTACCTTAGGTGCACATAAGTTATACGGAGTAGTGTTTATGTCTATGCAGCAGCAAACTCTATTTAAAATGTTCAAACAATTATCTTCAAACCATATCATCAATCATTTGTTTTGAACACTCAACTATTTTTTTAATTCCCCCATGCATTTTCTGTATTTCAAAACTTTCCCTCTATTTGCCTCCCTCTATTTATAGTTAAATTTTTTCACAAATATCAAAATGATGTTTCATATGGCATCCATATTGAATATATAATTTTTTAAAAAAACTTGAAGTTTCAACTGTTATAAAACACAAAACACAATTTTTTACTCATTAAAATTGAAAGAATATTTATGATAATTTATTACTTTGTATTTTTTATATTGGAATTTGTGTTTTTTATTTGTACTAAGGTGTAGATGTATTGGTAGACACGGCACAAACGATTTCAAATTCCGCCGCCCGTAAAATTGAATACTTTACACTACCTCCATCCCTTTTTATTTGTACTAAGGAGTATGTTCTATGAGCAAATGGCAGAAAAAATTTAACTTTGAATGAAATATAAGCTTCATCAAACGTTTTCGTACAAAATATACTCCAACAAAACTAGAGTTATAGCCTTTAAATACTTTTTCCAGAAAAATTTAAGCGTACACAAATCTTGGATCCAACAAAGTTAAGGATTGAATACATTTTGCCCATAAAACAACAATTCTGATTTTGTTAAGCTTTTTAGATATCACATTTGAATTTAAAAATCTTATTTTAGTTTACTGTGTATGCCAGATTGCATACAAAACATATACGGAGTATTTATTGATAATTAATCATCAATACGAGCACTATGCACTTTTAGCTTTTAGTAGGGCTTTAAAAAGGTGTATTGGACTTTTGTTGGCCTTCAATACGAGCTGAGTATATAGTATATACTCCCTCCCTCCCAGGTCCCACTTTCTTTTTTTGAAAACAATTAACAATCTTAAATGACAAATTCATTATTAAATATTAAAAATAATACATTTATAACAATTAACATTGTTAATTGTTATAATACAATTAAAAGGGTTTTCATTTCCATTTTAGGAAACAATTAACAATCTTAAATGACAAATTCATTATTAAATATTAAAAATAACACATATATAACATCATAATTATCAATACTAAGTACGTAGTATATTATAATTGTGACACCGCTCCCGAAGGTCCTTGAAAATTTGATTTGAATATTCAAAGTTTATGTATTGGATTTCTGATTCCCAAACATTTTGTAAAACGATCAATGTTCTACGTAGTGCATGGTTGAATATCGTACTGTTCAAACTCGTACATTAGTGTCGGGTTTCGCAAATACTTACTCGGGACTTATTAATAAATAAAAGAGCCCAACATTATCTATATAAGTGATCGAAGGATTAAAGAAGAATACAAATGCCTATAACCCCATCTTTGGCATTTTTGAGCTAAATAATGGGAGTAGGATTTTCCTTCTATAACATCCATCAAGTAAATTATTGGGATGAGCCTACACATATTGGAGGTCAATAATGTGATTTAGGAAGTTGACTTGTTCTAAATAAATTAGGATGAGTACAAAAAGACATCTTTGACAAAGATAAAACAATAGGACCCATCTTCCCATTTTTTGGAAGTATTGGTAGATATTTTGGACCCCAAATTGATTGGGATTAATTGGGGGGCATCCCATGTGGCTTGAGTACCTGCAAGACAAGGGAAATATGTGAGGAGACTCACCTTGGCCGCACCACATGGAGAAGCATTGCCCATGACACAATTGGGATCAAATCTTGGGGCCACCACCACTGTTTTCGCACAAACAGGTGTGCTGTTTTGTCTCCCTTCATTTTGAGAGTTGTACTCGTCCAAATGGGGTGTATAAGGTGTCTTTGGATAGCTTTTGAAGTCTATTTTCATATTTGAGTGGCCACAGTTCGAGAGGAGAGAGCAATCATCCAAAAATCGATCTGGAACGAGCAGAGGTCTGTGAACTCGAGCTGTGAGAGTGCTGAGACTGTTTGGTCGATATCTCGAGTTTTACCAATCCAATTAAGGCGTGTGAGATACCAAAAGAAAGCTCTCAAGACGAGGAATCCGTGAAGGTCTGGTTTGCACCAATCGGAGTAGAGGAAGGCTTCCAAATCGTCCGAGCAAAACACAACCTCGCAGAAACGGATTTACTCTTCTAAAGTGAGTTGTTAACCCCAAATCCTTTCCATTCATTTTCCAAATGATATGAACGATTGGTGGGACTATTGTACACTAATCCAAGTGTATAATATGTCCTTGAAAAGTTATTTTATTGATGTAAAGGTTAGATACTAACCTAGAACAAATCTTGGAAAACTAGGAAACGAGTTAGCCGGAAAACACCCATTCTAGGGGCTGTTTTCGTACCAACGTTTAGGGGTTGATCTAGCACCTTGAAGAGGCTGTTTAGCAATCATATTTGAGCAAGGAATCAGTTCCAAATCCACCTTGACCGAAGCTTTGACCATTGGACCAAGAAGGGAAAGTTTAAAGCTCAATTGAGGTGAGGATTGACATCTAATTGCTTACAACTTGTAGGTTAAGCATGAGATTACCTAAATGCTTAAATCATGATTTTTCATGGATTATGATGATTATATATTGATGAAATATTGATATAGTTGCCAAAGAATGAATTTGGAATGATTTGAGAAAGTATGAATAATATGAGATTAAATGAGTATAAATGAACTATTTTGTGAAAATGGGCATTTTGCTCATGTATGAATTATGTGGATACATAAATGAATATTTGTGTATTGAGATTGAATACTTAAGTTGCTGCTACATAATTATAAATATGTAGAGAATTACAAACAATGAGGATAATGGTACGATAACAATAATCTTAATAGTATTGGAATACTAGTTAGTGATTATTGGAACTTGTTGATTAAATTGATCCTAGGGATTGGATTGTATGAAAGGTACTTGAATGTAGTTCAAGTGTATATGATAACTTAGTATGGAACTAAGGTTAAGTTATGGGGAGTCTTTAAGGATGACCCATGGTAGTTTAATGATATGTCAATTCTAGGCATAGGGTTGCTTGAGGATTGGACCTTAATGCATGGTGATGTGATAGAGCCGAGCTCTAGAATGCATGTAAGGTGTAGACTTGGAGTCTATGTATTGTATAGCTAGAGCCGAGCTCTAGGACTTGCGTGGTGATGTGATAGAGCCGAGCTCTAGAACGCAAGGTAGGGAGATTGACCCGAGGTATATGAATTGTATGGTGATGTGGTAGAGCCGAGCTCTAGAATACAATGTCATGTACTAGGGTTGGACTCTAGGAGTTGTCGTGGCTTATAGTCACGGGGTTGGGAATGGTGATTTCCAAATAAACATGGGCCCACGGGCCGACTACTTGACTTTTATATTAAGTAAGTATATTTTTAAACGGGGTAACTAGGGTTACAATCATAATGTACTATCACCCTATTTGAGGGTCTCGTGTTTGAAATACTTGTTGTATATCTATTAGATGCCTGCCACACCAGTACTTTATAGCCGTATAGAGTACTGACCCCTTCGGGGGCGTCCCACCACCATTTCAGGTTGAGGCTAGAGCTTGCATCCTGTGCTCGTTGATCGGGTGATCCCTCGGAGAGAAGACTTGGTTCGTGCTTCCTCCGTTCTATTTGAAACATTAATAAATTTGCTCATGGATATTTTACTATAGAGCCTGCGTGCTCATGAATAGCCCTGTGTGGCTCTTTTGTTTTAAACAATGTTTCCGCTGCGTTATGAATTACTTATTATGTTTGTTTATGGATGACTTATGTGTGAATGATATTCATGACGCCTTGTATAATATGAATGTGTTGGACTGCGGTTGACTATTCGTATTATACGGCGGGTTGTTGACGTGTCCGGGGAGGTCCGGGGCGTGACAATTAAGTTGGTATCAGAGACTTAGTCCATAAACTTCATAATGAAGTCTCGAAATTCTCTTTTCAAAATGATTTCTAAAACCATGAGCATAAACGTTTTGTACTTGAAGAACTTTTGGTACTTGAGTTGCAAGGTCTCTAATTGTTAAGATGGTACCCTTAGCAATTGGTATGGCAGCAATTTGAGCCAAGTAGTGTCTTGAGTACCTATCCGTCAATTGACATTTGATACGAGTCTAACGACTCTTTCCAAATTTTCTTTCAGAAATGGACCGTGGTGGCAGGATTACTAGGAGAAACCCGACTGGCCGTGTACCAGTGGAGACTGGACTGGGCAGTCGAAGGACCTCTAGAGCATCTGGAGGAGCTGGCCGTGGAGGCCGATCACAGACCGTGAGCGACGGTCATGTGAGCACCGAAAACGAGAGCTACTGGTCCTATGAGGACTCGACCTATCGGCCGGAAACAGAGCCGGTTGAAACCCCTTATGAAGGGGATGACGATGACGCAAGTGATGAGGAGGACAACGGCTCCTTAGCGCGGATTGAGGCATTACTCCAACAATATCACCGTGAGCGTGAAGAGAGGAGGGAACGCCGAAGGCGCCGGACTGGGCAACCTTCGGGCATGGCTTCACGAGGAGGAAGTCATGGTGCATCTAGAGTCCATGTGGAACCACGTGGAAGCCAAAATGATGGAGGTCCAACCATAAGGATCTCCAAATACATCAAAGAAGCAAGAGATTTGGGGTGCAAACCCTTTGATGGAGCAGGGGACATTTCAGTGGCAGCACAATGGATCAAGAGGCTAAATGAAGCAGCCCTTGACATGCAAATCGCGCCGAATCTCAAACTGAGAATTGCGGTAAGATTGCTCGAGGGGATGGCATCCAAGTGGTGGGATGGAACCAAGAGCAAGTACGGTGAGACCGTCGTTTGGGAGGACTTCCAACGGGAGTTCTTTGCCCAATATTATTCTGATTTTGAGGT